ACAAGCTTTTTTCAGAGGGGGGGGTGATGTGACGGTTCCACCCTAGATCATTAGATAGGGTTGTTATATCCACATTACATTCACTTCACATAAGATATTGCTAGAGTTCTTTGTTTGTAGCGCACAGACCAGCGTAGATAATGTAGAGTTGTAGATCTCTAGATACTTTCCCTTCCCTTTTACTCTTTAGTTTAGAATCTTTTGAATATAGTCTTTATCCAATTCGACTTTGTCATTTGTCAACCTGTGATCTCCTACGGCTCTCACACTGTTGTAATTTCCCGTCATAACTCAAACTGTGACCTCAACCATATCAATTCCAGTTGGCGCATTATCTTGTCTCACCATATAAGTGCAAGTGTTGAGGGTGAGCCAAAAAACCTGTTCCGTGAACTTTATCCTCAGGCATTCTGCTTAGACCCTGGTTCAAGAATGTCTTGCCATGACATACATTGAAGTACATCTTGAACCATGTCTTGAACTACATCATGAATCACGCCTTGATCCACGCTCACACCTGGTGGGCTTTTAAACTTTTCCCTGCAGCAACACAACTGCAAATAGTGTTGTGAATGATGAGCACTGGAGATATTCTTGGGATGGACTTAGAGTCAGTTGTGATATAATGTACGAGAACTGAGATGTAGACTGTAGGAGGGATTATTATTTGCTAAAGTATGATGGATAAAGTGTGTGATCTATGTTGAACACTTTTGGGAGCAGTGCCAAACCACCTGTCTAAATATATGAGAAGCTGGTCCGTGCACTGCTATCACTTCTCAACATCCTGATCCTCAACAGATCTCTACAACCACTACGTAGCTTACCTCAATTGTGTAGGCACAGCGACTATATTAATCCATGACCCAGACCATGCACGTCTCTGCGTTATGTTAGCATGGGCTAGGATTATAACAAATAGCCATCATTTAGTTGGCTGGAGAGGGGAGATATTGACGGGATAACGGCTCCTATAAGAATGTACCCAAATGAAGACCTGTTGGTTATTACTGCTGGAAAGAAGTTGTGAAGGAGGCAAAGTATGGAATACACTACCTGAGGCATAGAGACTCCCAGCCTCTAGGCAGAAAGGAACTACATGTTCTTACACAGTTATAGACTTCATAGCACAATAAACAAATACAAAAAAACAAACTAAGCTCTCAACGCTGGCTGTAATGACAGTCGTGCTGGGGATATCTGATCCCTACATCATATAGTAGTACTATTACTGTCGAACCTTTTCAGCTGGTTCGGAAGCTTTCATGATTGAGATTAGAGGTATGTGGAAGAAAAGCTCGCACAGGAGCTTTCAATTGAATTAAATAAAATGATGATAATATCTAGAAATAGCTTCCTTAAATCACAGGATACAATCCAAACACGTTGTAGCCAAGATGTAATCCTAAACAGACTCAACACCAGTCCACCACATCTGTTACGCGGACGCCAAGTATTTTCTAGCTGAAAATTACCGAAAACACCAAGGTTTTCCTGAGGCAATCAAAAATTATGTCAGGTACCAGCTTGGCATTTTATTCTGACAATAATTTCACAATCATGTTAGAAGAATGGAATTTACATGAATCACAAAACATCAAATCAAGAATACGGATTCCATCGAGCTCTAATCATGGTCTGATAAGTACAAATGGAATACTCGGGTGTTATTTGTATCACACGCTTTCTACAGCAGTAATAACAATTGGTGGTTAACAAGTATCTTGATTCTTGTCTATCTAACCAAAGGAAACACATATTTGCAGCAGTTATCCCTCTCTCTTGACGCCATTCCTAAACAGGTAACTTATTACTCATCAACATAATTAGTCATCATTTCTAAGATAATACATCAAGGATCATTAAGTCATTAGTTCATTTGATAAGTACTTTAGACAGGGGTGCGCTTACAGTGCCTCTAGGTTGGAAAAGGTAAAACTTCAAACTGGGATGTTGAAGAGATTAGCCCTGTAGGCGCAGCTGGGCTAGCTCGTAATAGGTTAGACTGTCTCTCCTCCTTACCCCGCTCGCCATGAAGTATGGTCCAATTGTCTTCTTCGAACAATTGCTTAGAGAAACTTATTTACAATGACACTCTTGACTGCCTAACCAACACAGCTGTCACGGTTTCATTACAAAATGCATGAGCAATGTTGTAGGTACAATATTTTAATTATAATTCTCTGAAGAGAGAATTCCTGTACTTAATGACTATCTATACATACAGACTGAAATACTCCTCCTCGATAAGGTTCTCTCTATGACTTGTCAACTCAGACTCTCCGAAAATCGCCTGTAGATCCTTAATACTTCTGTAACCTTCATGAACTCTTAGTAGGTTTCAACATGGCTCAATATGAATCATCTAGGTTCCCTGTCATCCAAAATCTTCCCAGGAACCTCCCATTGTATAATTGCCTGCGCTAGACAGCGTAGGCTACAGGAACCCTTAGGCTTGACAGCCATCACAACAGCCCTTGAATCTTAACATCACTATCATTTAGTTCTCTTTTCTAGCAAACAATGACTCTCCAAAATTCTGCTTCAGAAACCAAAGTTTGCAAGTATCTAACTCGCAATCAATGTATTGAAATAAGATCATTAACAAGACTCGGCTTGACATTGCAACATATATCCGACGAACTCGGCTTCACAATAAGGCAAGTGCAACTTGCGTGTGCTCGAGAGACTGAGAATCTTAAGCCTCGCAAACGATGCTCACCTAAATTAAGCGCGGAACAAGTTGATGAGCTTGAGACTTTCGTCCGGGAAATTCCTGAAAATCGACAGATGTGCTGTTTGAAACTAGCATTGGGACCCTTCAGCCACTGGGGATGCAATGGGCATTAAGTTTCAAATGCCCTCACTAAAATAGGTTACAGCAGATGCATTGCTCGGAAGAAGCTTCCATTAAGTGTGGTTAACATGCACGAAAGATGTATAGCAGTGATAAAGGAAAATGGAGGGTTCACAAAGTATTGGGATGGAGCAGAATCATACAAAACATGAAGTACGCTTTCATTTTAGTTGCAAGCCATACTGAGGGCTTCGATGTAGACTTTTGTAATACAAAGCAATAATTTTTGAAATAGATGTGTATATTTAGAGAATAAATCACGAGGTGTGAAAATGGTAGAGTGGCAGCCTGGGGAAACGAAGAAAGATTGGCTATGAAAGAAGAAGGAGTAACTACTGCGAGATCTATATACATGGGGTGTAGGTGTTTGCTGAGTAATGCCAAGTCTAGATTGGCATTTATGTCACACAAAGGTGTTTTATGTTCAAGCACTTACACTGCCTTGCTCATTGCCTGTATGGAGCCCTGAGGGTGTAATTGAATATCAATTGATTTTTTTAATTTTGAAATTTAAACAAGGACCATTGTACTTTTCCCATAGAATTGAAAACCATCCCCATAATTTAGACTTTCATGGAGTGTCATTGGATAGTACTCCTGCTTGCACAACTAGTCGATAAACTAGACATGGGCCTGAATGAAGACTAAACCAATCTAATTGATATGCACAGGGATCTAACCCCAGTCATTTTGAAAATTTTATTATGAAATGAGGTTACCTAGGGGTTCAATACTGACTCTGCTACTCATATGTAAATGGAGTATGGTCTATAAATACTGAGCTTGTAGATAATTTGTTGTAATTTATGCGACAATGGAGTTAAGAGTATACTGCATACCAGCTATATATTCAGCTGCTTGTGGATACTTGCTCTCGAAATCAGATTCCTTAAAATATAAATATATATATATATATATATATATATGATTTATTGTGTGTATTATAACTACAACTATTAGTGCTTGTCAGACCAGGATTAGAGCTCGATGGAATCCGTATTCTTGATTTGATGTTTTGTGATTCATGTAAATTCCATTCTTCTAACATGATTGTGAAATTATTGTCAGAATAAAATGCCAAGCTGGTACCTGACATAATTTTTGATTGCCTCAGGAAAACCTTGGTGTTTTCGGTAATTTTCAGCTAGAAAATACTTGGCGTCCGCTTAACAGATGTGGTGGACTGGTGTTGAGTCTGTTTAGGATTACATCTTGGCTACAACGTGTTTGGATTGTATCCTGTGATTTAAGGAAGCTATTTCTAGATAATATCATCATATGTCAGGTAGTAGATATGTGTAGATATATAAGCCGAGGGAAAGAGGAAGACAGACAGACAGACAGACAATTAGATCTTTTTATTTCACTTCGATTGAAAGCTCCTGTGCGAGCTTTTCTTCCACATACCTCTGGTCTCAATCATTAAAGCTTCCGAACCAGCTCAAAAGGTCCGACAGTGCTTATTTTCTTGTTCTTACAATTATGTACACACTTCAAAATTACGGAAAGTGTGGAATACTAAGTGAGACACGTGATACAATTACAGATTTATTGCATGACTTTCAACATAATTGATTGTAGATACTAGTAAAGATGCTACGCATTTTATGTGCTAGAAGATAGAAAGATGTACAGACGGAAGATGGTTATGTGCTCCTGACTCAATGTACTTCGGACCACACCTAAATTGCTCTCCTATCACCCTTGCAGATTCACACCATACTAATCCCACCAATCATAGCACGGCTATTCCTGTTTGTCCAGCAGTCTACAATAACATCCTAATTAAGCGCCATAGCATAAAGTTTATGCAGGTATGCATAAAAAATTCTGTGCTATTCCTAGATCACAACAAATTTTACCTTTGCCTTCCTTAAGAGACTGTATGGCAACTGAGACAGTCACATCACAATACCTGTTCCAGCTGGGCCAAAAGGAGATTAGAGATACTTAGAGGGGCAGAGTCTCGGTTATTTGAAGCGACGCGGAGTAACCAGAAAGATGTGGGGAGAATTACAAAGTTATTGTGATATTTATAATATTTGACGTCGTGCCCAAGTTTGTTTGTTTGTTTTCTCTCTATTATCTGTCGGAGCGCCAAGCTTGGCTTAGGTCCCTACTACCCACTAAACTAACTAGAGGCATGGACGTCAGTGCTTACTGCCCTGGTGGCTTCGCCATTGCTATATTCCAACTAGATTTGCAAGGCAATTCTCTAATTACATGATAGCGTGTAGCGAAGCACTTACACCTTTACAGCTAGCCGCCGAGTCTCTTTACTCCTTTGATGTATAACAACCACTCTCGAGATACTACTACTAGATCCATTCATAAATACCGCACCATCCATCCATAATACAAGGCTCGGAGTTGGGGCAGAGTTTAAGACCTATTTAAGCCTTCTATGGGATTTCTAGGACAGGTCCTTATGTAAAACTCAGAAAGAGAAAGCCACCTTGATACACATATGGCCAATTCCCAGGTTCCTAGCAAAAATTCCTTTGGGTCCCTTGAAGATGCTGGAGCTCGAGGGGGTCTGTGGGTGTTTAGGTGGCACTCTAAGAAGTACAATAAGGCTTTGAGCTGTCCGCAGCCACAATGAAGGTTAGCGCTCTCGTGATTGAGAGGGCGGTAGTTGTGCCCAAGTTGTTGTGATATACAATACAGATTGGTATGTATGAGCAATGAGACATAAGGTAAACTAAACCAAGTGTGGCTAGCAAGGCACAGTGAAGGATTATCCGAGGCGCGTGCACAGGGTATTAGGAACACTTCTCTTGTAGAGATAGGCAGCCCTGCTTCATCCTATCATATATATATATGTATAAATATAGATTCTAATTGACTTCATCTCCACACCTTCCTCTATCATCGCTTCCGCAGACTGTTCAGGTCTAGACTCCAAGACGTCGTACATAACCTCATAACTATAATAAAAGTGGATGGAAGATAAAGGAAGATTGGAATAGTTTTGACTATGCTTGAAGTCGAGGCCACGATGAGGGGGAGAGAGAAAACTAGGACAAATACAATCTCCTTCCGGTAGAAAGGAAGTGGACGGTATCTGCACTGAACGTAACAGTGTTAGTGCACTTCTTGAAGGTAACAAAATATCAAAGTATAAATAAATTGAAAAGTTAAGGGGCTTTTATCACAAAGGTTTCCTCCTGTATAAACGTTGGTGTTTGCAGACACCTACATGTACCCATGAGGCGCCCAATAGGGCTAAATGAAATCAAATTCAATTAATATTTGGCGCAAAATAGCAAAAAAAATAAGAAAGTAGGATCTAGCGAGCTCATCACTTGATGACCCATCCAATTTCACTATACAGATGAAGAGATGAATGATGCATAATAAAAATTTTCCAATCCCAAACTCTACAATTTCGTACTATTCCTACAGGACTGGCTTGGCAGTCAACGTTCGCCTCCATCATTCCAAGTACCTCGTGAGCTCTAATATCATCAACTTTAGTATTGAACATAAATAGTCAGTAATTAGAGCCGCATAGAACATAGTAGCGAGGTGTCTGGATGGCACCAATGTACTTCAAATACTATTTTTCATAGTTCAAGTAGAGTAAAGATTCCTGGTCCTTCTATATTCATGTAAAATTTTTTAGCTCATAACTGTATAGTAGTGCCTGGAGGGTTCTGATCCTGTTGCATAGTTTCGGGGATTTCAGTAACAATTTTTATCCTAAGAATTTTTGCTTTGTTTAATTTCTTCACATGGCGTAACATTCCCCAACACTGAAGCTTGTATCTTAAGGAGTGTTTTCTCAATATGAAATGCCGCCAAAACTGTAACATCATTGTCTATTGGTGCTAGGTGTTAGTGAGGATGCAATTTTTTGGTATGATACTTGCATACTTTTTTCGAGAGTCGATTTTATATCGAGCGCTGCAGAACCAAAATACTGCCCTTTTTTGAAAAGATGAAGATTTTTTGCACCTTCAGTGAGATCACGGAATTTTTCGTCAATCATCAGTTGTATTGTTTCCCCACTTACTTGCTCGCCATAACAATTATAGGATGGAAGAGCAAGCACAGGCAGCATATAGCTTAACAGAGCTACAAGTAAAACGTGACAAAAGTTTTTCATGTTGAAAAAAATGGGTGTTAAAATTTCGAGTTATATTTTGGTGATGTAACTGAATTTAATGATATCGTAGGTCCCGTAGATGAATCAGTTTCTTTCTTGATAGTAAAAAGATGTTGATTCTAATTTGAATGTATTTAGAATGTAATGAATAGTAGGGAGAAGTACTATGATTTCAGTGGATGATGAGTAATTTTAGCTGCTTGCCTACTCACCTGGTGGTTACTTTGCTCTGATATTGAGAAACTAGTTTCCATCAGGATTTTTGTTACCTTCACTGTTCATAAAAATAGACTAGAGGTGGGAATAAAGAAGGCCAAGAGACTTGCAGGAATATGGTTTCATTTGATCGAGTCTAAAGCAAGTCCTTTAAATCCTAGACAGCGTGTATGTGTTTATTGTGCTTCTTGAGTCATTGACTATCTATCACATTGGGCTCCTCTCTGGCCCAGGCCACACCTTGTACAGTGCTCTTTGCTTCTTTTGTTATTTGGAATATAATTGATGTATTGCCCGTGATGAATAGCCATTCAGCTCAGTGTTTACCTGTGAAATCCGGACACCTTTTCCACAGAGCCTTCTACCCAAAAAAAAAAAAGTGGTAGCAATTGTTAAAGGGGCAGGATGCAATGTCAACATGATGAAGAGTCTGGCAGGCTAGTGTTAGGTTTAGTTAACTAAATCTGACACATCAAATACCCGGTGCGCGCTTCACTCTATTTGTACATAACAAGCAAGACCCTAATACTCGTGCTGTTTAGGATCAAGCCTTGTGAATCAGGCCTATACAAACTAAAATCTAATCAAAACCCAACACATGCTATCCCACAACACACACAATTTTTTGACATTCGAATTTTCGAATCTTTACCTTTTTCCCCTCTGCCTCCCTCTCGCGCTCGTCGTATTCTATCAAAAAATTGTGATCGAGTCACTGGCATTTTCGCCATGCCACCTGTTCGAAAAAAGAGTCCCAACGCCAAGTTGGACAACACGAGAGTCCACCCGAGGGCTCTCGAGCAAGTACCTGGCCTTGCCCAGTCTCCGAAATGCGCGGAGATGAGCAAGGTCTCAATCAAAGGGAAGGAAAAAGCCCTCCCCGCCATCACTGAGCCCGATACTGACATGATCGGGCCAGTCGAAATTGTTGAGGAAATTCCTCAACAAACCTCCGTCCCCCACGGAATTGGAGAATCGTCCACACCTCCTCTGGCCACCTCAAAACCGTCGGAAACCACTGCACCCATAGCAGCGTCAACATCAACGTCGCAGCCAAAAGCTGCCACGAAAGCAGAGTGTCCCCTCGAGCTCCGACCAATAGTCGTAGCCGAAAAACGACGCGCCGCCGAAATAGCGGCAAATCTAGCCCTCTGCTCCGCCGCCATCTCTGGCGTCGAAGCCACCCTCCTCCCTTTGACCAATGGGTCAAATAAACAATTCATAGACTCCGTGAGAGTCTACCTACGCGCTGCCATTGCACAATACATGGCCACGGGCCCGGCCACTACGCCACCCGTCCTCCCTCCTCGCCCGACAAACCCTCTCCCAAGGGCTCCCGAAGCTAGGAGTAACACAACTCCCGCCGTCCCAGTTCTGCCTGTCAAAAGCACCTGGGCCACGCTGGCCAGGAACGGACTGCGACAGAAAGCAGTCCCAACTGCAAAGGCTGTGCCACAACCTGCGGCAAAAGCCCACCAAAAAGAAACCCCCAAGGCGAAAGTCGACAAGCGACTGTTCCTTCGCCTTGAAAAGGACCACCCGTGGCGAAAACTGTCCACAAGTTGCGTGAGAAGTAAATTGGAGATGAGATTCCTTTTCTTTCACGACAAAATAACCTCGCTTCATCGAGTGGGGACCGGCTTTGCTATGCTAGCAAAGGACGAAAAAACACGACAAGAGATGCTAGATAACTCTTCCAAGCTGGCTAGTGAAAACGCCAAACTCGAGGCATCTTCAGATCTTGTAGCCTTACAGATACCCAACGTACCTGTAAGTATAATCACAGAGCGAGGCCCTATGGCAGTCGATTCTGAGTGGGTTTTCGACAAGATTGCTGTTATGACCGGCGCAAGACCAATACATGTCCGACCTCATGGGACATGTCGACCTGGGGCACCGTATCAAAACTGGCATGCCCTTTTCACGCGGGACAACGCCCCTCGTGCGGGCTTCCGCCTCTTTGACGAGTCTGGTATGGCAACCATTCACAAGCCTCGTCGGCAAATTGAACAGTGTAAACGATGTTTGGGCTTCCATGCCACCCGTGGTTGCTCCCGCGCTCCAGCCTGCTGGAACTGTGGATCTAACATGCACTCGGAAGCCGAGTGCAAGGCCCTCACTAAGTGTCGCAACTGTGGGGGACCTCACCGATCGGATTCTCGGGCCTGTCAGGTCAGACCCAAAAAATCCGGACCGGTGACCAAAGAGCAGCTCGCGTGGATACGCCACCTCGAGCAAGGGAAGTTCGCGGAGGCGGCTCGAGCTAGGGCCGCAGCCAAAAAGGCCGAAGAGGCGATTGTCGCCGCGGCGAAGGATACCGCAATGGCCGAGGCAACAGGTTTCGGAGTGCTGGGACCTGAAGAAGAAGTTTGAGGACACAGCAACCTCGACGATGTCCCCTTCTGGGGCATCTAATAACAATTAGCAGGATACCGGCTGGATCAAAGGTGTCTGTTAACTCATCTTTCGCTCTCAGCATAGAAGGAGTAAATTTGTCATTTGGAAGGTGTGACAGACGAGAAAATGTGTGAGGAGCACATTGACTGAGTCCATTATGGAGGAATCTTCTGGTTTTTTCGGAGTTGTTTTGATTTTCTTGATTTTTCGTTTCTGTTTAATCAGCTGCACTTTTGGTAGTGATTCACGAGGTTGGAACGAGTTAGGCTGTAGGAAAGATTACAGGGAACCCTGCCGGCTCCGCCTGTCCTTGACCCAATGTGGAAAACATAGCTTTAGCTTAGGACAAAATAAACAAACAAACAAACATGCTATCAAGCGAGGCGCTCAGCAGTGGACCTCGTCTCCTGCGTGGTACAAGACATTGAAGAGGCAAGCTCCTAAAAATGGACGGCTACATTTGTCACCCTGGACGTTCAAGGTGCTTTCGATGCAGTTCTCCATAACTGTCTGGTGAGAAGGATGCAGGAGCAAGGTTGGCCAGACTCGATACTCAAGTGGACGACCTCGTTCCTAGCACAACGAATAGTCCAAGTGCGTTACTCTGGAGGAGTCACTGCTCAGCGACAGCTAAGCTGTGGAGTTCCCCAGGGCTCACCGATATCCCCACTCCTGTTCCTTCTTTACATGGCAGAGCCTGTGAGAAGTGGGAAGCCAGGTATGAGGTTCAGCTATGCCGATATCACGGACTGACCCTGTAATGCTGTGTAGCACCTGGCAAACCATGTCATGAGTGTACTCTAATCACAGTTAATGCGTTGCGATAGTTACAGTGTTACGATAGCAACAGTTACCACCCAAGATACCAATTAGTTGCTATGATATGGATGTAGGCTATGGCATCACTGGTTATGGTGACTGTCCTCATGTACTTAAGGGAGCTCTGAGACTGTATTTGTACTGTAGCTTCTTGTCTTGTAATTTACTTACCCTCTTGACCTCATCCTCGTCTTCGTCTTAGTCCTCGTCTTCGTCTTCGTCCTCGTCCTACTCTTCGTCCTCGTCCTAGTCCACCGTCCGCGAGCCCTGACAGCCGACGAACTCGGAATCATCGGATTTGGCCGCACGATTACAGAATCTGCCGCTGCAGCCCAGAGTGAAGTCGATCATCTCCTGGATTGGGCGGGAAAAAATGCGGTTGCTTTTGACACAAGTAATTCAATTTCCCGGACGGTGCCGCGAGCTTGCGAAAGGAATCTATGTCAATGGAACCCTTATTGAGCCGGCTGAATATGTTCGCTGGTTGACTTTCTACCTAGATCTCCGTCTGACCTTTAAGCACCATGTAACAACATAGTGCGGTAATGTTGTGAATGATGAGCACTGGAGATATTCTTGGGATAGACTTAGAGTCAGTTGTGATATAATGTACGAGAACTGAGATGTAGACTGTAGGAGGGATTATTATTTGCTAAAGTATGATGGATAAAGTGTGTGATCTATGTTGAACACTTTTGGGAGCAGTGCCAAACCACCTGTCTAAATATATGAGAAGCTGGTCCGTGCACTGCTATCACTTCTCAACATCCTGATCCTCAACAGATCTCTACAACCACTACGTAGCTTACCTCAATTGTGTAGGCACAGCGACTATATTAATCCATGACCCAGACCATGCACGTCTCTACGTTATGTTAGCACGGACTAGGATTACAACAGGTAAAGCCTTGAAAGTTGCACAGAACCTGCGCCGCTTCAACACTGCTTTCCGAGGAGCCGCCCCAGGAGCGCTTATCAGAGCAGTCGATATGTGTGTTGTTCCTGTTGCGACATTTGGTGCGGAGATCTGGTGGCCAGGTCTCAAACGCCCTACGAGAAAAAGCATGACAACCCCACCAACAGCACATCCGTGTGGCATGATCGACAAGGCTGTCTTGATGGGTCTACGAGCTACTCTCCCGGTAATGAGGACGACAGCGAACGTGGTACTGCATAGAGAAGGTGGAATTCCACCGGGCAAAATCATTCTGGAGGGTAATCGACTTCGACTCTCAGTCAGACTCAAAACTCTGGAGGACCGCCATCCGCTGAGGGTTCGTGCGGCTCTGTGCCCAATTATAGGCACGCTGAAATACAAGATTAGAAATAGAGGGACCTCGGTTCCTGAAGTAATAATGTCACAAGTACAGCGAGCGTACCAACAATTACCAGAAGCAGAGGGTGCGGAACCACTACCACCTACATCCTACTTACCGAAAGCAGGATCTAAAGAAGAGCAAATTGAGAAATGTAGACAATGGATCAACCTGGTGTCGAAGTCGGAAATTTGTGCCTACTCGGATGGCTCATCGGAAGGGAATGGACGCTCTGCGTGGGGCTTCGTTCTG